CCCCCTCCGTCACAGCAACGGCAGACAATAGATTCGCGCCTTTTTACCTGGGTTACCTGTGCAGACAACATACCACGGCAAGCATGGAGCCCGCTCAGCTCAGCTGAGCTCACCCTCACCATATGTCCTCTGGGTGCCGGCAGACGTGGGACTGCATTGCTACACAGCAGCAGCTGCTAACTGCCTTTTGGCGGTAGACGGTGTAGCATGACTAATAGCCGTGGGGCTGGATTGCACCAGCCCCTTGCCCTTTGGTAGAAGATGGTATATTACGACTGGTATCCGTCGTCGTCATACTGCAGTGGCTGTCAATCATGGGCACCTGGGTAGACATGCTACTGTCTCGATGATGATGATGGCTATCAGTCGTAGTATACTATTTTCTGCCAATTGCCCAGTATTGTCTGCCAAGCACCCAGAAAAGGCCGAGGGCGATCTGGGTGCTGGCGGACGTGGGGCTGGCAGACGTGGGGCTGCATTGCTACACAGCAGCAGCCCCTTGCCTTTTGGTAGAAGATGGTATATTACGATTGGTATCCGTCGTCATCGTACTGCAGAGGCTATCAGTCATGCTGCCACATCTGGCAACACCAGCTCCATGCTTTTGTGCGGTCTCTCTAAGTTAAGAACAATTCACAGCCTTTTCCTTACCGGTCCCAGGCCTCCCTTCCAGCAGCTGGATTCTCTGCGGTGATACCTGTAGCCAATTAGTTCATGCTATCATTTAATTGTGTTGTGACTGTGTTGTAACCTCCTATGTTATTTCATGTAGAGTTAATGTTTGATGCACGTGTCCTATAAGTAGGATAGGACTGTCAGACGGACAAGTATGTAGGAGGGATGAGTGTGCCAATGAGAATAAGGTGAATTAAGAGAACACCGTATGAAAAGTGGGGCACCAGACAAAGTATGGGGTGTGGAAGTACAGATAAGGACAAGGTGGTTAGAACCCTTCTGCATAGGCATATTGCGTTAGGCGTGGCCAAGCCGCAAGATAAAAGGGGTCCCTGGCATGGACAGTGTGGGAAGACCCCAGCAGGAACCAGCCCACGATTGATGACCGCCTGGTGAGAGATCCATCGGAGCAGAGGAGTATGGATACAGCAGTAGCTCAGGTTGTGTGCACCCAAGTGGGGTTGCAACCTTAGTCATTTGGTGAGTATAACCCATCATACAAACAAACTGTTCACTTGTAGCCGTGCTTGGTCGCTGCATTCGCTCCGTGCATGCTGCTCAGCGTCTCCCACTGTAAGAGAATCACCAAGGTAATGTTCACCCTATTGATCTGAACACTGGCGCCATGGGAGACAAACTCACTCCGGAGGGATGCTGTCATTTGTAATGAAGCTGCCTCTGGCGGGACACAACTGAGAGTATCAATTCAGGACAAATTGCTAAGAGCAGGGCAGTCACAGCCCCATGCTGGGGGTCCTTTACTATTAAGGCACAAAACCAGCCAAACTAAGAGGACTTCGGTCTCACCCCACTGGCTAACCACAAGTCTCACAAGCAATCTCCTTAGACACTCCAGTTTTCCAGTATCACCACCAAGGCCACTCCTTACAGGGGTGAATGGTTATGAAAACCAATACCCCAGTAAAAGAAAAAAGGTTCTCCCGATCCCAAAGGACCCAGACCCAGGTCAATATACAAATCAGATCTTACCCACAAATCACGCTGTTGCCAATCCTTTAGAATCTAAAATCTAAAGGTTTATTCATAAAAAGAAAGAAATATAGATGAGTGTTAAAATTGGTTAAATGGAATCAAATACATACAATTTCAAAGTTCTTAGTTCAGGCTTGATGGGATTACTGCTGATTTAAGCCAATCAAGTCTCTGGAATACAAACATCCCAGCTGGGATGGGTCATTCAGTCCTTTGTTCAGAACTTCAGTTTGTAGCAAAGTTCCTCCAGAGGTCAGAAGCTGGATTGAAGACAAGATGGAAGGGTCTCCAGGGCCTTTTATATCCTCTGCCATGTGGAAGGACCCCTTTGTTCTTACTGTGGAAAATCACAGCAGCCAGGTGGAATTTGGAGTCACATGGTCAAGTCACATGTGCATGCATGACTCGGTTCTTTACAGGTAGAGTGGCCATTGCACACGTGCTACCTTGAACATTCCCAGGAAGGTTCCTCATATGTGGATTGGAGTCTCCCAAAGTCCATTGTCAGGTAAGTGTTTCTTGATGAGGGGAGGGATAGCTCAGTGGTTTGAGCATTGGCCTCCTAAACCCAGGGTTGTGAGTTCAATCCTTGAGGGGGCCACTTAGGGATCTGGGGCAAAATCAGTACTTGGTCCTGCTAGTGAAGGCAGGGGGCTGGACTCAATGACCTTTCAAGGTCCCTTCCAGTTCTAGGAGATGGGATATCTCCATTCATTTATTTATTATTGACTGGGCACTTAATCTGAAAATTCCTTTCTCAAGAAGCTAACCCAATGCTTCACGAAGGGCATGGCTACACTTGCAGCTGTAGAGGGCTGTGAGTTAAACCAGCCTTCATAGAGCGCCGTAGGGAAAGCGC